AGCTACACAGTTATACTTCTATGCAAATGAAGAGTTGCCTGCAATCTGATTTGTTGTGGATAGCCAATTTCCCATCTGCCGTGCAGAAAAGGTTAAAAGGTCCTTTTGTTACTTAGGTGTGGAAAGTTAAGGTTTTCCTTTCAATTTAGTTCTAGGAAGTCGCTGTGAAACAGCCTTAGGTTCCCTGCCTCCAAACCCTATTCTTCTGCCTCATTAGTAGCTGGGACTACAGGTGCATGCCACCACACCTTGCTAATTTTTGTATTTTTTTGGTAGAGATGGAGTCTCATTATGTTGCCCAGAGTGGTCTCAAATGCCTAGTCTCAAGCGATCCTCCTGCTTTGGCCTCCCAAAGCACTAGGATTACAGATGTGGGCCACTTTGCCCAGCTAGTCATAATCTTTTTGCTTGTGGAAGGTTTTGCCTCTATACTGATAGCTGCTGACTGATCAGGGTGGAGATTTCTGAAGGTTGGGATGGCTGTGTCAATTTCTTTTTTTTCCTTTTTTTATTTTCTTTCAGTGGTGTAATCTCACTGCAACCTCCGCCTCTCAGATTCAAGCGATTCTCCTGCCTCAGCCTCCTGAGTAGCTGGGATTACAGGCGTGCACTACCACGCATGGCTAATTTTTGTATTTTTAGTAGAGATGGAGTTTCACCGTGTTGGTCAGGTTGGAGTTGTGGCAGTTTCTTAGAATAACAATGAAGTTTGCTGCTTTGCTTTGATTAACTCTTCCTTTCATGAAAAATTTCCCTGTAGCATTCTGTTTGATAGCATCTTACCCACAATAGAACTTCCTTCAAAACTTGAGTCAGTCCTCCCAAAAGCTGCTGATGCTTTATCAACTAAATTTATGGAATATTCTAAATTCTTGATTGTCATTTTAACAGTATTCACAGCATCTTCTCCAGTAGTAGATTTCATCTCAAGAAACCACCTTCTTTGCTCATCCCTAAGAAGCCATTCCTCCTCCATTAAAGTTTTGTCATGAAAATTATCAGTCATGCTGGGCGCGGTGGCTCACACCTGTAATCCCAGCACTTTGGGAGGCCGGGTGGGCGGATCACGAGGTCAAGAGATTGAGACCATCCTGGCCAACATGGTGAAACCCCGTCCCTGCTAAAAATACAAAAATTAGCTTGGCATGGTGGCATGCACCTGTAGTCCCAGCTACTCAGGAGGCTGAGGCAGGAGAATCGCTTGAACCCGGGAGGCGGAGGTTGCAGAGAGCTGAGATCACGCCACTGCACTCCAGCCTGGTGACAGAGTGAGACTCCGTCTTGAGGAAAAAAAAAAAGAAGAAAATTATCAGTCACATCTTCCAGCTCCACTTTTAATTCTAGTTTTCTTGCTGATTCCACCGTATCTGCTCTACTGGAGTCTTTATGAAGGTCGGAATCAACTTCTAAACTCTTGTTAGTGTTGATATTTTGACTTCCTCCCATGAATCACAAATGTTCTTAATCACATCTAGAGTGGTGACCTTTTTAGAAGGTTTTCCACACACTCTGCCCAGTTCTGTCAGAGGAATCACTATAGTAGTTATAGCCTTACAAAATATATTTCTTAAATAATAAGACTTGAAAGTCAAAATTACTCCTTGATCCATGGGCTTCAGAGTGGATGTTATATTAATAGGCATGAAAACAACATTAAACTCCTTGTATGCCTCCAGGAGAGCTCTTGGGTGACCAGGTGACTTGTTAATAGACAGCGATATTTTTGAAAGGATTTTTTTTTTTTCCAGTAACAGCTCTTAATAGCGGGCTTAAAATATTCAGTGATCTGGACAGGCGCAGTGGCTCACGCCTGTAATCCCAGCACTTTGGGAGGCTGAGGAGGGCGGATCATGAGGTCAGGAGATCCAGACCATCCTGGCTAACACGGTGAAACCCTGTCTCTACTAAAAATACAAAAAAAAAAAAAAAAAATTACTGGGGTGTGGTGGCAGGTGCCTGTAGTCCCAGCTACTCTGAGGCAGGAGGCTGAGGCTGGGGAATGGCATGAACCCGGGAGGTGGAGCTTGCAGTGAGCCGAGATCAGGCCATTGCACTCCAGCCTGGACAACAGAGTGAGACTCCGTCTCAAAAAAAAAAAAAAAAATTCAGTGATCCATGTGGTAAACAGATGTGCTATTAATTAGGCTTTCTCGTTCTATTTATAGAGCACAGAGTAGCATTAGCATAATTCTTAAGGGTCCTAGGAATTTCAGAACGGTATAAATGATCATTGGCTTGAACTTAAAAGTCATCAGCTGCATTAACCCCTAACAGGAATTACCCTGTTCTTTGAAGCCTGGAAGTCGAAGCTTGGAAGCCCAGTATTGATTTCTCTTCTCCAGCCATAGTAGTTCTAGATGACATCTTCTTCCAATAGAAGGCTGTTTTTTCCTGAATTGAAAATCTGTTAACATAGACATCTTCATCAGTTATCTTAGCTAGATCTTCTGGATAACTTGCTGCAGCTTCTTCATCATCGCTTGCTGCTTCACTTTGCATTTTTATGTTATGGAGACAGCTTCTTTCCTTAAATCCCATGAACCGACCTCTGCTACCTTCAAACATTTCTTCTGCAGCTTCCTCGTCTCTGTCAGCCTTCATAGAATTGAAGAGATGGCCTTTCTCTGAATTAGGCTTTGGTTTAAGGGAATGTTTTGGCTGGTTTGAACTTCTATCCAGGTCACTAAAATGTTCTCAGCAATTTGTGCTCTTATCATTTGTGTGTTCACTGGAGTAGCACTTTTAATTTCCTCAGGAACTTTTTCTTGCATTCGCATTTGGCTGTTTGGCACAAAGGCCTAGCCTTTGGTCTGTTTCAGCTTTCCACATGCCTTCCTCATTAAGCTTAATCATTTCTAGCTTTTGATTTAAAGTGAGAAATGAGCAGCTCTTCTTTTCACTTGAACACTTAGAGGCCATTATAGGGTTATTAATTGGTCTAATTTTAATATGGTTGTATCTCAAGGAATAGGGAGGCTCAAGGAGAAGGGAGAGAGACTGGGAAATGGCCAGTGAGTGGAGCAGTCAGAACACATACAACATTTATCAATTAAGTTTGCCATCTTATATGGGTATGGGTTGTAGTGCCCCAAAATAATTGCAGTAACTTCAAAGATCATTCATCACAGGTCACCATAACAGATATGATAATAATAAAAAAGCTTGAAATATTGTGAGAATTACCAAAATGTGACACAGAGATACAAAGTGAGCACACGCTTTTGAAAAAATGGCAGCAATAGATTTGCTTGATGGCAGAGTTGACACAGACTTTCAATATCTAAAAAGCACCACATCTGCAAAGTTCAATAAAGTGACACACAATAAGATGAGATATGCCTCTAAATAAATGTGCAAAGTATCTGCATGAGGGAAAAAAAAGGAATGCTGTCTATTCAACTGGAGGTTTGCTTATCTTTAACATAAAACATTTTTTTCAAGATAAAAGCAATTCAAGTGTGGATCTAAAATTCTGAAGAAAAAAAGTAGCAAAAACTAAAACTGAAAAACATAAAAATGAAGATTCCTGTTTTACTACAGAAATCATAATTTGAATTTTGGAATATTTCTTTTTAGTCTTTTTTCTTATATCAGTAGTTTTCATATATAATTTAAATCATGTATATTTTTCCATTGTATGTAGTTTTTATAATCATTTTGATGAATATAGCATTATGAATTCATCCTTATTTGGCATTTAGGTTGAACATTTAGTAGTGATGTACAGGATGTTCACATCTTAAGGCAAATATGTAGTGAGGTGTTTTGAATCTTGGGTGATTGAGGGGCATTTCAGTGGAGATGTCTAACAGAGAAGGAGTATTGGTTAGTGATTAAGAGTCATACTGCTCTAATTAAAATCCCTTCTTCCCTTTATTACCCATCTGACTTTGGGCAATTTACTTAGTTTCTATGCCTTGGTTCCCTCATGTGTAAAGTGTGGATAATGCTAGCATGTACCTATATATTTTTTGATGAGTATTATTGAGTCAGTTTTTGTGCTTTAAATCTCTTTTTACGCAGTGTTTTACTGTGTTTCAAATTCATCCAAAAAGCAATTTGATATAAAAGTAACACCTAGATTTTAATAAATGATAATGCTAAGTGATAAATGGTGCAGGGGGAAAAGACCTTTAACCCTTCAAAATGTGCCTCTGATGGTGTCATATCAAGTATTGGAGATGGATGTTAATGACTGGTTTGAATGGTAGATGATGGGGACTTGATAACTTGGGCTGCATTGGTCTTTTTTGCACACTTGAATCACTGTAGTTTTAGTTTGTGTAGAAAAGAGAGCATTGCCGGCTGGCGCTGTGGCTCACGCCTGTAATCCCAGCACTTTGGGAGGCCAAGGCGGGGATCACTTGGGGTCAGGAGTTCGAGAACAGCCTGGCCAACATGGTGAAACCCCGTTTCCACTAAAAATACACACAAAAAAATTAGCTGGACATGGTGGCATGTGTCTATAGTCCCAACTACTCAGGAGTCTGAGGCAGGAGAATTGCTTGAACCCAGGAGGTAGAGATAGCAGTGATTGCACCACTGCACTCCAGCCTGGGTGACAAAGCAAGAACCCAGTGAGCCGAGATCGTGCCACTGCAAGAACCCAACTCAAAAAACAACCAAAACAAAAGAGTACAGTGGTGAACAAGTCACTTCCTACTTTAAATCTGTTTTCTTCTCTACAGAGATAACATCCATCTTATCTGTCTTAAGAGATGTCATTTTGATTAAATAAGATGTTTTGTGAAGGTGACTTGAAGACTTTGAAAAGTGTTGTATATATTTTATTAATTTAAAGTGACTGAAAATGAGAGAAATGCATATATATAAAGATTCTGATACAGCATTAGGTACAGTCTTCCATAAAGGATACTGTTAGTGCTGTTATTATTGTAAAGACATCTACTTTTCTTATGTGAAAAGGTATAGATTATTAAGTGGCCTATGAATATATTGTTAATGTCTGCTTTTTTTTCCCCCTTCTGTTTGTGTTCCAGACTCCTGGGAGAGTTGGCTCTCAAGGTTCTGATTTAGATTCATCAGCAACTCCTATAAACACAGTGGATGTCAATAATGAAAGCTCTTCAGAGGTATGATAATCACTTGGCAATAAAATTCAATATTATTTAAGGGAAAATGAGCAAATATTTGGTGTAACAATTGGTGATTTGTATAGGAAAATTTCTCATAAGTTTTTCTTATAAGTTGGAATGTGACTTTGGAAACATACTTGTAGCTATATACCTGTGCCTAGTTGTGAGACAGAAAGTGTATATTAAGACTCTGAAAAATAATATTGCCAATTTGTCTTTAATGCTAATGCCATCTCACTGAAGATTTTAAAATGTCTGTTTATAAAGAATTACAGGTTAATTAGTATCTATGTGTGTGTACTGTCATGAACTATTGCACTAAGGAAAAACTGGGTTATCTATAAAATTTACATATTTACTATCTTCATGTATGACTTTGTAAGGACTTTTGTCTTTGATATTAAAGACATTATATTAAATATAAATACATTATATTAAAAATGAATGGAGAAAGTATTGTAAATAAGTGAAAAAACTTCAAAAAACGTGAAAAGTCAGCTTTAGTTGCATTAATATTATTTTTAATAAATAAGTAACATTGGATGATTATAGAAAAAAAGGAGATAAGGAATGTGAAGAACATAACACTCACTCATAATACTGCCACGAAGAGATCAAGACACAGTTTGCTCTGACACTTTTTGTCAGTTGCCCCTTTGAAGGCCTAGTTGTAGTCCTTACCCAGTCTTTTTTCTCTGCTCTCCTCCACCTCTTGGTTGACAATTGTGTATTGTGCATACGTTTCTGGATATGTCCTCTTTTTGTCCATTCATCATTCTGTTTTGTCTCTCTCTGACCATCTGTTTATTATTTGTCTCCATGTATATATATTTTAACCATAGTAAGATTTTACAAATTTGCGAGAGGGGAGGAAAAGTATCAGTTGGACTTTATTAAGAACAAGTTTCAGGAAATGTCTTTAAGAAAAAGTTCCAAACTGTGTTTGTGATATGATGAACTCAAAGGAATCTAGTAATAATTTAGTTGACCTCAATCAGAACAACACCAAAAAACAATTCCAATGGGTATTGGTATTATGCAGTGCTTGGCAATACTGTTAATATCGTATTAGTAGGATTAACTTCCTACTTTCTGAGATAGTTATTTTGTACCTTCTTTGTTTTGAAATCTGTCTCTTTTTAACCTTCTCTCAGTCACCTTATATATAACTGAGAAAATAGGAACCATTAGATAAATGTTCTTATTTTATCATACCTATGCCATACCTGTTTTCTCTTACTTTATTACACTGGAAAAAAGTCCTTTTTATCAAATTTCATTCCTTTTTCTTGTTCTCTGGATTCCATTCTTTTTCATTCTTAATTTATCCCCTCTCCCTCCTGCTACTTCACTTTTTACCTCTACTTCATGTAATTCCCAATAACATACAAATTTGTTCCATATGATATGAAAACAAATAAGAAAAGAACACCAAAAAATAAAAAATGAAAAAAACCAAAACCAAAAACTTTTTCTCTGACTTGAAATCCCCTCTTCAAGTACCATCTATTATTTGCTTTCCTTCAGAGCCAAACTTCTCTAATATGCTGTTTACAGTCACTGGCTTCATATTTTATCTACTTAGTCTGTTATATCTTTTTGGTGAATTGGTGTTTAATAGTGGTGGAATAACCCCAGTTTTGTTTTGATTAGTATTTTGTGTATCTTCTTCTTCCTTTCCTTTCTTTTCTTTTCTTTTTTTTTTTTTGAGACAGAGTCTTACTCTGTTGCCCAGGCTGGAGTGCAGTGGCGCAATCTTGGCTCGCTGCAACCTCTGCCTCCCAGGTTCAAGTGATTCTCCTGCTTTAGCCTTCTGCATAGCTGGGATTACAGGTGTGTGCTACCACACCCGGCTGATTTTTTTTTCGTATTTTTAGTAGAGATGGGGTTTTGCCACACTGGCCAGGCTGGTCTCGAACACCTGACCTCAGGTGATCTGCCTGCTTCAGCTTCCCAAAGTTCTGGGATTACAGGTGTGAGCCACTGCTCCTGGACTTTTTCTTTCTTTTCATTTTTTTTTTTTTTTTTTTTTTTTTTTTTTTTTTTTGCAAAGAGCGTAACACGTGTCTTTTAACTGGGAAAACCCCTTTGAATTATTTTGGTTATTGATGTATATTGATTTATTTTTATTGCGCTTTGTACTTTCTCTTTATCCTGCTTTTCTGTTTCTTTTTCTCTTTTTGCCTTAGTTTGGATTTAACTTCCTTACTACACACTCTTTTCTGTGCTTCTGTAATACCACACTCTTCTGGTTTTTTTCCTACCTCTCTGGCTATTCATTCTTATTTGCTGGCCCTTTGGTAAGCAACCTTCACATGGTGGTGGAGTACCTTGCTGGGGTTAGTCCTGGGTACTGCTACTAGTTTGGATATTATGCATTATATTCTGTTCATTTAGTGTTTCTTTTCTTTTTATGTTTTTGAGACAGAGTCTTGCTTTGTTGCCTTGGAGTGCAGTGACGTGATTTCCGGTCACTGCGATGTCCACCTCCCAGGATCAAATCATTCTCCCACCTCAGCCTCCTAAGTAGTTGGGATTACAGGCACATGCCACCATGCCCTGCTAATTTTTTTGTGTTTTTAGTAGAGACAGGATTTCACCATGTTGACCAGGCTAGTCTCGAACTTCTGACCTCAAGTGATCCATCCACCTCGGCCTCCCAAAGTGCTGGGATTATAGGTGTGAGTCACCATGCCCGGCCCATTTTGGTTTCTTTTGTAACATACATAATGTCTAAAACACTTTTCTCTCCTTCCGTTTCAAGGACCTTTGAATGCTTTGATATGGATCACTACTTCCCAACTTGTATTGTGGTTCAGTAGTTTAGATTTATCTTATTTTCTTTTATCTTCACAAATTAGAGGTTATTATTGTTTTTAGATTTATCCATTGTTTACCAGTATAGTTATTTACCATTCCTTATTGCATCTTCAGCCTTCCACTTACAATTATTTTCTTCGTGTTATAGTACATCGTTTAGGATTTTTTAAAATGAGGACTGATTTGCTAGACTCTCAGTTTCAGTCTAAAATTTTATTTCATGCTCATTCTTGAAACACGATTTTGCTGAGCATAAAATTCTACATACAGATCTTTTTTTTTTGTCAGCACATTGAAAACTTCCATCTCTGTCTTTTTTGTGGGTCATGTTGTTACTGTTGAGATGACTGCTTTTAGTCTCTTTGGTTCTATTGAAGGGATCCTTTTCTCTACTCCTGTGGTTGTTTTTTAAAAATTAATCAGCCAATCAGTCAATCTGTTCTAGTCTCTTTCTTTCATTTCCTGTTATATGTGTGTGTGTGTTTAATCCTGCTTGAGACTCACTGGGCTTTCTGTACACACCAATGTGTATTTGAAGTGTTTTGGAAAATTCTCGGTGATTATCTTTGACTGTTGCCTCAATTTTTCCCGATATTGCCATCTAAAACCTAGATTAGATATACAGATGCTCCTCGATTTATGATGGGGTTACATCTTGATAAATCAGTCATAAAGCCAAAAATTTTAAGTCAAACTATCCTAAGTTGGTGGCTTCCTGTATGTTAACATTTCTCCCTTTATCGTTTATTCTATTATATGTGTTTTTTCATTTTTATTTTTATTTTTTGAGACAAGATCTTGCTCTATTGCCTGGGCTGGAGCGTGGTCATAATTCACTGCACCTCAAACTCTTGGGCTCAAGCAATTCTCCCAATCTGATGTTTCTAGTAGTGGGACTATAGGTGCGCATCACCATGCCTGGCTTTTTTCTTTTTTCTTTGTAGAGATGGGATCTCATTATGTTGCTTAGGCTGATCTTGAAGTCCTGGCTTTAAGCAATTTTCCTGCCTCAGCTTCCCAAAGTGCTGGAATTATAGGTGTGAGCCACTGCACCTCTCCCTGTTTTAGTTTTTAATTTTTTGGTTTTTGAGATAGGGTCTCCATCTGTGACTCTGGTTGGAGGCTGGTCTTGACTTCCTGACCTCAAGTGATCCTCCTGCCTTGGCCTCCCGAAATGTTGGGATTACAGCCATGAGCCACCGTGTCTTGTCTGTTTTATATTTTATATCCTTTTTTGTTTTTCATTTTGGATTAAAAAAATGTACTATCCAATTAATTAAATCTTTCCTCAGCTGTGGAGAATACCTGCTGTTTAATATGCCCATTAATTTTCATTTTAAGTGTCTTTTTTTTTCATTTCTAGAAGTTTTTTCTTTCTTTTTTTTTTTTTTTTTTTTTTTTTTTTTGAGACGGACTGCTCTGTAAGCCCGGGCTTGGAGTGCAGTGGAACCGGATCTCAGCTCACTGCAAGCTCCACCTCGGGTTTGCCGGCCATTCTCCTGCCCTCAAGCCTCCGGAGTACGCTGGGACTACAGGGCGCCCGCCAACCTCGCCCGGCTAGTTTTTTGTATTTTAGTAGCGACGGGTTTCACCGTGTTATCCAGGATGGATTTTCCTTTCTTTCTTTCTTTTTTTTTTTTGAGATGAAGTTCCGCTCTACCCCGCCCAGGCGAGTGGCAGTGTCGCTATCTTGGTCACTGCAAGCTCCAACCTCTCAGGTTCCGCCATTCTCTGCCTCAGCCTCCCCAGTAGCTGGGACTACAAAGTGCCTGCCACTATGCCGGCTAATTTTTTGTATTTTTAGTAGAGGACGGTTACCATGCTTAGCCCAGATGGGTCTCAATCTCTGACTCGTGATCCGCACGCCTCAGCTTCCGCAAGTGTTAATGGATTCACAGGCGTGAAGCCACCACCGACCGGCTTTTTCCCTTCCTTCCTTTCACTTCCTTCCTTCCTTCCTTCCTTCCTTCTTCCTTCCTTCCTTCCTTC